TTTGTACTATTTCATATGCTATGCTATACTAGAATACGGAGAGGTATCGTTGTTTGCGGGTTGAGTTTTAGCCTGTAATCCTTTTCCAAATTCCTTACTGCCTTGTCTATTGGCCTTACATGGTGTCTTTAGTAACAATAACCAGGTATTAATGAATTCAAAAATAAAGAAGACCGACTAAAACTCCATTCACAAATACACCACACTAAACACTATTTCCATAGAGGTAACTCTAAGACCAGCAGATCCCGAAGAAACGAGCTCAACTTTTTGGCTCAACTCTGGTACTATCTTCGGTCCCAAGCTAATCGATGCACCCCTCGAAACATTGGAAAATCCACGAACCCCTCATTTTATCTGTCAAACTTTCATAGCGAATCAAAACAAACATAGTGTAGTACTGGAATTTATACTAGAATGGGAAACGTTAATCGATTTGCTTGGGACCAATAGGCTAGTCAAGTAGTGATCCAATTTAAAACCGTTAGTTTCGAATTGATTGTTGCTATTTCGAAGTAGTATTCGAGGGGCTTGTGATGAGTTCTTCCTGTTCTTCCTACGAGGCGACATACAATCGGCTTCGGGGTTCTCCCGTGTCTGTAACTGCTTTCTCGTCCGTTTTTCTGAAACCAACCGCTTGCTTTATTCTCTATCCTTTTTTGCTGTTGCTTCTATTTTTCATACCTTTTTTGTAACTCTCTTCATTCCGGTACTTTATCACACGCTGCTGTTTCTAGGCTTCGTCCTTAATCATCTTACCCTTATTGTATTCTTCAGATTCCGAGGGCACCACACCTTCCATTTCCAGCATCTCTTCTTTAAGAACTTTAAATAGCTCCTACGTTTCATCGTTGTTGCTATTTACATTACATCTCCGGTCACTACACCTGCGTGTGTCCGATCTATTCTTCGTCCTGTTGTTTTTATTTTTCCGTCGACCTTGTTTTCCGGAAGGGAAGTAAAGCCTTTGGTCCCCGGTTCATGAGTTGATGGGTCGATATGTAGAGTCCAGGTGTGGGATCTGCCTCCCTGGCATCAATAGCAATGGTACTCATTGCTACTGATGCCAGGGAGGCAGATCCCACACCTGGACTCTACATATCGACCCATCAACTCATGAACCGGGGATCAACGGCTTTACTTCCCTTCCGAAAGAAGGCATGATTTGAGATTGAATGCTTCAGAAAATCCCGACGACGCCGACTGGGATTGAACCCAGACTCTTTGGGTTGAGAGGCAATCACGCTTACAACTACACCACCCGCGTCGCTACGTCCTGTTGTTGTTTAGTATCATCCTGTTCTATCTTCTCGTCTTATTGTCGCTTTTCATGCTGTTTCCAAGTCTTCCGACTGAGGAAGAAATACGTCCGGTGCCCCTCGATCTCGCACAAAAAACACTTGTTCTTGATCCCACCGTAAAAAAATGTTTCCCTTTCGATTGAGGAAATAATGCAAGGGAAGTCTCTACATTTTCACGTCCATACACACACTTCATACACCGGTGTGCATGTCGAACTCCGCAGAGAATTTCCCCCGGAAGACAAACTAAACTTTTCCGTACTTTCTCATCACCAAAGATAAATCACGATCCGGGAGTTCAGGTGACAAATGGTACACTCGCACGTATTGAACGTTGCCTCCCGAAGGCGACATATAAACCTTAACTATTGTTCCGTAATAGATATAGGGTAAATGTCACTAACCTAGGTCTTATAAGCAGCCATAAATTATATTTTGTTTTATATCTCAACAAATAATTGACCTACACACAAAACAAATGGCATGAATATCAAATATAAGGGTGCATTTCTTACATCATCTGCATGATTTCTTACTACAAATGTATTGTCAGTTCTTGCAATGGACTGTAGAGTACAAGAAAGTTTTTCTAGAATTACTATTTTTGTACAAAACCTTCATGAGACGATTTTCTTGCCGCAGTACATTTGAGGAAACAAACTTTGTTTGAAAAATAAGCTAACGGCACTAAGCTCTTCGATTGAGATCTTATTGGACATTTGAGCAATCTAAAAGAGTTTCAGATAAGTCCATTAATATTGATGAACGAAGATTGTATGCTAAAGCGACATCATTTCAACCTTAATTTCCAAGTTGACTGGGACGCAGGAAGACTGAATATTAGTCCTGCATCAGTAATTTTCTATACAGATGGATCGAAACAAGATAATATGGTCAGGGCTGGTACTACCGACCCTGAGGTTAACCTCTCGGTGTCCATGGGAAAATGGCCGACAGTATTTCAAGCCGAAATGCTATCTTAGAATGTGCAACGATTTGCATAAAAAGGAACTATAAAAATGCGAATATTTGCATTTGTTTAGATAGTCAAACTTACACGTCAAAACTGTCCTGTCGAAATACGGTTAACCTTTATTGGATACCTGGTCATTGTGGAATCGAAGGGAACAAAAAAGCTGATCAATTGGCAAAAATAAGGTCATTCACGAAATTCATTGGTCCTGAACCATTTTTTGGACTTTCTTTTTGTGCTTTAAAAATGGAGCTAAAAATTGTCAGAAAACAAAGGTACAGTACAACTGGACCAGTGCCTTAAACTCTCGGCAATCTAAACGTTTTATAAAGCCGAACGCTTTGCATACACAAAAATTACTTAATCTTTCTAAAAAAGATTTGAGTACATACGCTGGTTTGATAACAAGACACTGTCCTTGTAAATATCACCTGAAAATCATTGGTAAACTTCATGAAGATAAATGTCGCTTTTGTAACTTAAAGAGTGAAAGCTTTGAACATTTGTTGTGTGACTGTGTTGCACTATTTTGTAAACGATGCAGATATCTTGATAAGGGTCTGATGAGATTTTGGGAAATCTGGGCTGCTGCTCCCAATCAGGTAATAAATTTCATAAGGAATATATTACCTGGTTGGGATAATTGCTTACAACAGTAGTGGTAGTTACTCAAACAAAAGTGGCTTACTACTACGTTATGGCATGAATAAAAAGAGGATACACCACAATATATCAAAGTAATGGTCGCGGTGGTATTACGTCCCCAACATAGCAAAAAAAGCTAAAGTAAAAATTTAAAACCTTTCGACAATTACATTACCAAATCTTTTAATACGGCAACATTACAAAGTCTGCATTATTTTTGTGCAAATCTGTAATCAAATCTTACATTTCCCGGATGGGTGTACAGAAAAAAAAATCACTATCAGGATACATGGTATGGTATGGTATGCTTTATTATAATTCATCTAACAGACATTGTTTTAATGATTAAGAACATTACACTTAAAACTAAGTTATTCATCTTAAGAAAGTCACTAATGATACATACACTTAATCACTGTTTCCCTGCTCGGTCATTTGTTTTACAGTTTTCGAATTGTAAATTACAAAAATTACCGAACATTCAGCTATTCTCAATAAAACTGATGATCATAAGCTGTTGCGACACAGTACTGAATACGGTAAGAGCAAGTACTGAACTTACTGTAAAATAACAACTTTGCGGAGAATGACTAAAACTCAGTGAAATAGAATACCGAGTTTTCAGTATTCGTTACGTTTTACTGGAGCAGTCATCAAACGAAGTTCCAACATTGCTGATACTGACAGTCAAGCAAATTTCTTATGTCATCCTCCTCCATTCCACCTTACGCACTTGACGTCGGAAATCTCCACATGAAAACAGGAAACCATAGTGAAAATGAGTGAAACATCTGGAAGTCAACACAGGAGTGCAGAAACTGCCACGAAATTTAGCTGCCTCAGCACTCTTGCAATGACTTCCAGATGTTCGACTTAGGTTGAAGAAAGAAATTTCACTAAAATTACCTGTTATAGAGCTCCAGACTCAGGCACGCAATCTGTGACATCAAAAGAGCCGACACCCGGCCAAACCACCAGGGAGCTCTGCCCGCTCAACATTGACTAGTAAAAAATAACATAACTGCTAATCCGCCACTAAACTCAGTCCCCAAATAAAAATCGCTGTAAATTCGAAATATTTTAATCGAATGAACCTAAACAAATCATGAATTAACTAATATAAAAATATTTTTGATGGATTATTATTCATCAAAAAACTAATAAAAAAACTAAAATGCTGAAAAACTCAGCAAAAAACTATGTAAACAAATAAATTACTGAAAAGACAGCAATACTAGTATAACTTTAAACGGTAATTTTTGACCGTGCAGAAATTCGGCGAATTACGAAGTTTTCAGCAAAAGCAAAAACTGCTGGGTTGAATACTAAAAACTCAGTTGTTTAAAAACCCAGTAAAATTTTACCAAATTGCACGAATTGGTTTAAAGGATCCGTACTGCAGATTGCGAGCATCAAGGTCCAACAAGTGACATTGTCGCATAACTCATTCGGGAGCATAAATGTTTAGCAGGCGAGGAATATATGGAGAGTATATGTCACCCCTGAGGGCTTTAGCAGTGAATATAATTTGAGAAATACGGCGTCTACTCTCTATGGTGCCTACATTTGGGTGCAACTAAGTATTTTAAGATATTGTTATGCATTTTTACAGAATAAACACTCTGCTGAAGGATTCTAGCATCTGATTCGGATTCAGAGAACTCATATTTAATAAGAACATTTGCTAGAAATGCACTGGGAAGTTATTTGAGAGTTCGATTCATAGGTATTGATTTCAATCCCATTAGTTTACCAATGACCTTTATCGTAGAAATTTATTTCGATATTTACGTTAAACTGTGATCAAATCCGGTTGACGGTATTCAGAGTTACCAGTCGATGATTTCGAAGCAAGCATAATCACAGCCATTCACTGCAGGACATGGCTTTAATTTACTTCCAGCATTCAATCACCACATCAAGCATCGTTCCTGTGTCACGTTTAAGTGCAAATCATGCCCCAACTGCCAACGAGCACATTAACATCTGATCGAACACTATGTAGTATCACACAAAATGAGCCGAACATGACATCCTCCTAACAAGATGTGCGAATGAATCACATCTTTTCCACTACTCACACACACGCTTTTCCTGCATATGATCACCAAAAAAAATACTGCGAAACATCATAACTGCCGTCGAATACTAAATTTATAGCTGGAAAATCTGTTTATATTATAAATTTAAATGTTATGTTTCGCTCATGTGAGCCACACATCGTGATAGAATTTTAATCCCGCTACCCCTTCCGACCACCATACACATTCACAACAGCTCGCCCAGTGCTGCTTCCATGCCGATTTCGCCGAAATAACTTCAACACTTCATAACAAAATCCATTCGTTTGAATTTGTTGATTTGTCGGTTTGCACGCACTTCGCACTGTGAGTGAAGGATTAATGGCACTATTTCCGGGGCACTTTTCGAACTCTCAGAACATCCGAACCGTGCCACTGATCAAACTGTAATTCAACAGACAGCTGACCAGTACACGCAGTAGTGTAATATTCTTCTTGAGAAAACAGACACAGAACTTCTCACTTGGAACCACGCCGTTAACCGTTCGCCTGTGTGCCAAAATACTAGTGGTAGCTCTAGCAACCAACTGAACAGGGGAAAACCGCACAGACAGGCTGAAGATGCATACGCGCGCGCTTTCCTCGGAGAAAACCGTTTTCCAACCGAACGTACTCCGCTGTCAAAGCACAACTGACAGAAATCGGAATGTTGCCTCTTCACGGCGCCGCACCCAGAGGCAGCAGCAACGTGCAGGGTTTCGTCAAGTTTTTCCATCTGTTTTCCCTTTAGAAAAAAAAACGACGACGACGCCAACAATACGATGGGTGGATTTGTTTACACGATGTTCGATGAAAACGACGTCCCACAGAGATGCCAGATCGTTCAGGAAATTTCCTATAGGGATAATAAAAATTTGATCATTTTTGCAATGGATCATACCATTCGAACAAATTAAAAATACTTGGAACAATTTCTTGATTCTTTTTAGAAGCTTGAGAAAATAGGTTCTTCTTTATGCTGTGCCTAAAAAAATCTGAAAACTGTTGCCTCATTTCATTAAAATCTTCAGTAAAAGGTTGCCCCAAAAGTGTTCCACTATATGATTATTTTGAGATGATTTTCATAATAGACATTTTCTATAATGTTTCATACACGGAGGAAGTTGCGGGGTAAGCACTTCATCAACCCTAAAGTTTACTTCTAACCTCAACATACTAGACATGCTCCTCAAATGTCCGTCTTGATTGATAGCTGATTTCCACAGGTAAGGGTGGCAAAAAAAGATCTAATTAGTTAACAAAGGTAAATATCTCAAAACTTCAAGCATTTTCCATCGAACTAACTCCATACACATTTAGAAATTATTGCCAGCTGCGGTAATTTCTTACCGAGCTTTCAACCGCTGAATGTTCGGTAAAACTTTGAAGCTCATTTTAAACGCTGATTAACTAAAAAAAATCCGTTCCGAAATTTCAGTCCAAAAATCCAGTGAACATTGTTCCACAAAATAAACGTAACGCCTAGGTTATGGTGTACCGGGAACCAGCAAAGGCAACAAAAGTCATAGAATCATGAACTCTGTTCTGGTTCGTGATTTATGTTCATGAGTGGAGCTTGATATCGTGAACCTGTTCTTGAAAACGGAAAAATGGTATAAGCATTTTGTGCGATTTCGAAGTTGCAAAATTTTGGAACTCACAAGGTTGTCGGATTGGCGATGGGTACCGACGGATCACAACGTTGCAGATAAGCTAACGAAGAAGAGCCGTGAATGGGATTTCGAGGTGGGCAGCACCTGGTTCACCGGATCAAAGTTCTTGTACCAGGATGAAGCTGAATGGTCACAGCAACCTGCGATACTAACAATCGTCGAGGAAGATCTGAGAGCCGTCTACCTATTCCATGACATTGCTATGACCGCAACCCCTAGTAGATGTTCAGCGAATCAATAAGTGGACCGTGTTGGTGCGCGTGATGGCTTGCGTGTGGCACTTCATTTCAAATTGTAAAATAAAGAAAGAAGGGTTGCCGATTGAGGCTCTCAAACCGACAAAACAACAAGAAAAGGTATTGCTCAATTGCGGAACAGCGATGCGGATACCGTTGAAACAGGACGAATTCCGTAAAGCAGAGTGTTTCCTGATAAAAAACTGCTCAGGCGGAGGCATACCCGGACGAGTTCAAAGTGTTGCTGAAAAATCAAGGACAGCCTTCGGATCGATGGTACGCGTTGGAGAAATCCAGCCCTCTTTAAAAGATTACGCCGTTGATCGATAGTGATGGAATCATTCGCATGGAAGGAAGAGCAAAGGACGCCGAGGCATTGCCGTTTGATCTACGCTTCCCCATCATTCTTCCAAAGGGTCACGAAGTGACAAGAAAGTTGGTCCAGCATTACCACGAAAGGTGTGGCATACCTTTCGCGAAACTGTGAAGAATGACCTACGTCAACGCTACTACATTGAGAACGTTAATGTAGTCGTGAAGAAGGTGTCAGCCATTTGCATTTGGTGCAAGGTGCACCTGAATCAACCTAGAATTCCTAGGATGGCCCCGTTACCGATCGAAATGCTTTCTCCCCATCTTCGCCCGTTCAGCTATGTCGGAGTCGATTATTTTGGACCCATTGAGGTGGCCGTTGGACGCAGTTGGCAGAAAAGGTGGGTTGTTTTGTTCACCTGCTTAGTAGTTCGTACAGTACATCTCGAGATTGCACACGATCTGTCGGCAGGCTCATGCCTTAGGGTTGATGGACATATTATGTCACGCTCTAAGGGGGGAGGGGGGGGGGGTCATAGATTTTGTGACAAGCAATGCATTAGGTATAGGAAAAACGTCACGATAGGGGGAGGGGGTAATTTTTTGCTCGATTTAGCGTGACATAATTAATGCATGGGCCCTTATGGCCATCCGAAGATTCGTGTGCCGCCGTGGACCTCCACTGGAATTCATTTCCGACAATGGCACTAATCTGAAAGCAGCCAGCAAAGAAATCAACGAGAAGATTCGTTTCATCGAGGAAGAGTGCACCGAAGCAGTTACCGATGCCTGCACTAGGTGGAGATTCATCCCTCCTGCCACTCCCCACATGGGAGGCTCTTGGGAGCGCCTCGCCACCGTGAAAGCTGCTCTAAGTTCGTTTGACGATGGAAAAGATTGACTGATGAGATCCTACAAACGTCTATTGCGGAAGCGGAGGATCTAGTCAACTCTCGTTCCCTTACATATGTTGCCGAGGGGTCGATCGACGCGCTAAGCCTTAACCATTTCTTGAAAGGTGTGTCACCGAACGAACCACTCATGGTTTCCCCGCCGCCACATTCTGCTGAGGCTCTTCGCAATGCCTACCATCGGTCACAGCAGCTGGCCGAAGAGTTATGGAGACGATGGATTCAAGAGTATGTGCTGGTAACGGTGGTAACGCTGAACCGGATGAAGGGATCGGACCAGTATTACGGGTCGGGGATCTGTTGGGAGCAACACCGCTGGGCTTACCAATTGCCCCTGGAGAAAAGTGCGATCGAGAGAGTGACGGACCGATTTGACTCATACAGATAGGGAAAATAAAAATTAGGACTGTCAGTCATCGAGATCAAGTTCATCATCAAAATTGCAAGTCACACGGTCAGTTAAGTTCGAAGGTTTATTGAAATTCTTAGTTCTAAATTTGTTATTCAAGTGAAAATGTAAGTACGGTCTTTTGAACATGAAATAATTAAAACTAAAATAAGTACTATTGTTGCTAGTACTATTGCAAACAGATAAAATTCGACGGCTACAGAGGTTAAAATCACACATGAAAACAAGTAGTACGAAAGAAATTGGGTTGTTTAGGGGTATTGAGGTAAATACACATTCGTCATCTGCATTAAAAATGGAACCGAAATCCAAAATTTCATCACTTTTGGTACACTGGAACTATTTTAAATAAGTACGATTACATTAGCAAAAATCACCATCTTTGCGCCCTTTGATGGGAATTTGTATGGGAGCGAGCTATCAACGAATAGAGTTAGTGTCAACGATCAAAAATTTAAATTTTTATTTAAAAATCGAGATGAATATCTACGGGATTGATAAAAAACATCGTTGTGCTCAAAAAATAAATCTCTATCAGATGATGTATGAAAATCGATATCTTTTTCGAAGTTGAACAACCCAATTTGTCTACAGGAGGAAAACTATCTGTAAGTGAAAAATTATGTTATTTTCTAATCCGAATTATCTAATAAAAACTATTTGTAGCTTTGATCTACTCAAAACGAGTTTGATACGAAGATTGTTTTACGTGATCCGAACAAACTGTAAAATGTCAACATTAACATAATATTCATCATTTTAAATGGAGTGTGGAAGTGGACGGAAAACAACGCAAAACTTGATGCAGGTTTCACCTACATCCCAAACTGGCAGCAGGCATCTGTCCAGCAGATGGAATGGACACCTGTGTCTGTTATTATCATTTTAAGACCAACAATTGAAATGGCCTTAACTCCATTTTGTAAACAACCCTTGTAAGGCCATTTTCTCGCGAACCGAAGTCCGCAAAGGCAAACCAACACAATAAACAGGTAGGGGAAATTTTCCTCTACCCGTTTGTGGTTTAGGTTCGCGAGAAAATGGCCTTATAAGGTTTGTTTACAAAATGGAGGAGTAGCCCTTCAACCCAGTGTAGATGAATTGCGTTCGTTTTAAATATCTTCGCTGTAAAGTACGAGCGAAACGAACATATGAGTTCATTATACATCAACGAATACGAATGATTATCCAACCCAAAATTGTCAAAATCAGAAGCGATTCTCAAAAACAAAATAATCAAATTAATTTTGGGCAAAATGAATATTTTGAATATTGTCTATTCCAGAGCCTAAAACCTTGATATTATCATCAATAATAATTGTCCATCAATCTGTGTATAAAAATCAACACAACACGTTCTACAGTATTTGTGTAATATGAAAATAATCATTTTGCATTTGATCCTCAAAATCATCCGTACCAAGATGAAGATGAATCTTGATATTGACAACAACACATCAGGCGATAATAAACTTCCAGCCACGAATGAACAAAAACAAATGTTGACTTCGATACTCAGAGGTTGCCTTGATCAAGAAAATGTGTTTATGTCAAAATTCAAATTCATGCAGGTAGTTGGTCTATCTGTTAAGGTTATCTTCATTTTCAGCTTCCTCAACAAATTAACACTACCATTTACTTCCATCAGAGCGGTGTGAGCTAGAACACTCGATGCGAACGGAGATCCTTTTCTTCGAGGTTTACGGCCAGTTTGATGACACGTCCCAGCGACTGACATTGTGTCGCACTACCATTATGATGATACGGCTCAACTGCATTTGGATTTGGGATCTATACTCCTTGATACTCCCAAAAACATCTTCAAGAGAAACGCAATCATGCCCTGAAATATAATTACCCTTTAACTATTGATTTTTTCTTGTTGTACGCCCCCAAATGTTATAACTGATCATCCCAATGAACACATTGCCTAAAATTTTTTGGAAGCACCATGATTTTTCAAGGGAAAGTCTGAATCTTAAAGACATTCCTAACAGGTGTCAAATCATTCTGATTTCTTTTGCACTGGCTTCGAAAACTTCAAAACGAAATTTATCTCATTCGAACTTTTGCTT